TTTTTTTTTTTTTTTTTTTTTTTTTTTTTTTTTTATCATATTGGGATTCTCTAGTTGTTTTCTTTGCAGTATCTAACCCCTTCCTTTGTTTTCTGAGACCTGGCAACCCACACTATTACATTGTAGATTTTAAAGTGTACACTTCTGTACTGTTCTATAAACTGATAAACTTTTGTAAATATATAAATAGACATAAACATACTGTATGTGACAGCACATAGAGTAGTTTTCCCACACCAAAGTTAATTTTTATGCATGCTTTAAAAATATATATTGGGATGGGCAGAAATGGGACTATCCATACATTTTTAAAAAGCAACAAGTTTGCACAGCTGGAGTGTTTTTGTAAATAACTGTATTTGTATAACACAGTCATGTAATATACAGAACTATAAGCAGAGACTTTGCAAAACTAAATAAAGGGCTGCATGCTTACTATTTTTTGTACCTTGTTCCTATAGCGATGTCCTAGTCAAAGAACAAAATGTAACAATAACCAGGTTAAATGGTTGGGGCTTTGAGGGCATTGTAAATTACAGGTAACCAGCTACAAACTTGTATCCTGAAAGCTCTATTTCTCTGAAAACTCTGGGGTGACTCAGGATGAGTCCTCAATAAATTCACTGCAAGTGCAGTGCCTTCCCATGGGACCTGCTGACTGTTCTCTGTGGCTCATCAGGGTTTGGCTAACAGAAAGCAAACCTGGGCACAGGGTCTCCACCCTCGTTTACCAGAGGGGCTCTTCCTACCTTCTCTTTCCTGTTCCAATTCCAGTAGAAGTAAAGCAGAAATAAAATGTCTCTATCACTAGGACTTTTTTTTTTTTTTTTTTTTTTTGAGTTCTCAATTTAAAAAAAAAAAATTATTGGTCTAAAGGGAAATATGCCAACATTACACTTTGTTTTCCTTTAAAAAATAGGGGTAAAGTTTAGTGAAAAGAATACCAAGATTGCGAATGGACTACAAGAACAATCTCAGGAACTCGCTTATCATTATTTTTTGCCTCCAAAATATTTAACTTGGTGGTTCAAGTAAAGTGCAAATTTTCTTATTACCTTAGCACCCGGTTGCTGGTGTTTGCAACCTTTGGGCTCACTGAGCTGGCACGCCTTCACCAGAAATATTTTATCCTGTCTCTCCTCATTATAGTAATTATAATCACGTTTTAAGGAGCACTCGGGAAAGTTATCTTACACCTTTTAGGTATAAAAGGTTCCAACACTTCAATCACGTCCCATAATCGACTCAACAGCTACATATGTTAAAATAAAGGTAATAGCCAGCTGGCACATGCCAGCTTATTTGCTCCTGTTTATGAACAGCTGAGGCTTCTTGGTAAGGAGCTAAACACCAGACTGTGGCTCATGCTTTCAGTGTCACTTCAGACTTCCCAGAGCTCTGGCAGGACATGCTGGTGACGGTCCATTTCAGCCCGTGTACTGAAGGAAAGAGCAGGCCCACCAGGTGAGGGGAAGCTCAGCGTGGCCGCTGGCCGAGACCTGGCAGTGCTGCTTTCCTCCTCAGGGAACGAGGGGAAACCAAACCATCGCAGCGGAGGAGCCGAATCGGGGGCCCGCGGTAACTCTTAAAAAGGCACGTCAGTTCCTTCAACAGCTCAAGTGGGTGATATTAGATAGGATGAGCTGCTGGGGTTTTAGATTTTGTTAAAATACTATTAGCAGACTTTCACTACATTATCTTTTAAGCTCATCGTTCAACTAACAAATGATTATATCTGGAAAAGATTCTTAGAAATAAACCGTTAGGGCTTCTCAAACCCACTCAACAGACCGTAACCGTTGCTGTGCAACCTGTGGCTGTGCAACCTTGGGCATGACTCCGTTTTCTCACCAGTTTATGGAGAACCGTAACGGAACCTCCCTCATAGGTTAAATGAGATGTATAGAAATTCCTAAGACAGAGCCTGACACATACCGAACACTCCGTAAAGGTTGGTTAGGACTGTTGTTGCCATTGTCACTGCTGCAATGGTGACGGACACTTCCTACACTTCAGAGGCCCTAGTGGGAGGGGGTGGCACAAACACTCGCGGGCAGAGGAGGCAGACCGGGAGGTGGGTCCTGGAGGTGACGGCATTCGGCCCTTGCAGATGCGATACAGAATTTCAGTGTTGCAGCATTGAAGAGGCTGTTTTTCTTTAAATGCTGCCTGTGAACTGGTACTTTCCAGAGTAAAACAAAGACTTACATAGACTTGGGGCAAATCCAAGGCTCTGGAACCACAGCTACAGAAGGGTGGTCCTTTCATGAGGTGGTGGTTTCAGGCTCGGGGGAAGGTGCACCCAAATCACCCCAAGCCAGACCCCTCTGGTGGTGAGGGGTGGAGCTGGTGCCCATCCCTGAGCCAGTGCCAGGGGCAAGACCCTTGACAAAAAATAGATACTCCACTGGGCACTGAGAGTAGCTTTGGCTACTCTCCCCACTCCCCAGCCAGATTCATGACAAACCCAGGGGCTTCCGGCGGCCTGCCCTGTCGTCGGGACAAGCTTCCTGCCTTCTCCATGCTACCAGGAGTGTTCTGGAGGCAGTAGAGGAATGAAGACTGCTTCTCCTGAATATTCAAAAGGTAATTTTGCAAAAGTAACCAGATGACCTTGTCCTGGGAAATACACCACGGGCCACAGGCAGCCGTGCACGCTCTGATCTACTCTCCTGAGGAGATAATGTCCGGAGGGAATAAAGTGATTACAAGAGCACTTTTGAGGAGAGAACCCCAGACCCTGTCAGGGCTCATGCCATCCAGCTCCAGAGCCACATTAAAGGCAAAGGTTCACCTTAATGACCTGGAGAAGAGGGTCACCGAGAGTGGGCCCCACCCCTGAAATGGCTCCCTCTAGTGGCAACAATGCCTCCCTATTGCTACACACTGCACATTTTTCAGTCCCCATCTAAGGCTTTACCTCTAAAGATTCCATATTAAACAAATGAGACTAAGTCCCGTTCCTATTGATGAAGGACAACAGGAACCGATCTTGCACCTTTACCAGCCAACATACCTCTGCAGGGGGTCAGGGCACAGAGGATCCCAAACGGAGTAGCAGTCCTGCGCTCTGGGGAAGGCGGCATTAGATCGGACCTAAGATTAGATACAGACTAGAGACCTAAGTGAGATTCCTTAGGTTTATGGGGAAGGGAAAGTTCGTCTTTGACCTGTTCAGTCCCCTTTCTTGGGTCTTTCCCCCTTTCTGATTTTGTGCTCACTGGACTACACACACCTGTGCCTGAGTCTGGGGCCTCAGTGCCTCCTTCCTCCATGTCCCTGGTCTCCTCTCAGCCAGAAAAGGGCATTCCTGGCACAGAGCCTGCTCTTTCTGAAGCAGATGGGTCTGTCCACCTCCTGAACCACGAGAAGCGCCTCTTGCCCTGACATCAGCTCCAGTAAATCCAGCCAAGAGGTTGTGTTTTACTCACCAGAAAGAATTCACTCACCTAGAAATGAAGTCAGGGAAGGAAACGTTCAGGAATAAATGGCCCATTGTGTGGTGATTGCAATCGACATTCTTTATTTCCACAGGTGAGCAGGCAGTGGAAGGGTCCTTGCCAGGTCTGACACACCTCACATGACCTGGACAAAGAATATCCTTTCACTCAGTGACCCCAGAGAAAGGGCATGACCTCTTTCTGCCCTCCTTTCCCTTCTGAATAAAATTCCTCAAAGGAGGTGCTCCCAGGGGAAAGCAGGCATTCCTGCCCTGTGGCATCCAGCTGCCCCCTGCCCTTGGTCTTAGCCCAAACCACCTGCCCCATCATTCCCTTCTCTCAAGCCCAAGCCACAGGGGTTCCCTCTGCCTCGAATATTCTCTCCAGGAAGCCTGGATCAGGACCCTGCTATGAGCACCTTCTCTTTCTTAGTGCTTAGGGGAATCTGAAGTATATAATAAGTTCAGGAATTAATATCTATACATACACCCAAGGGGCCCCTAGCAGAACCTGCTACAAATCATGAAGGACTGTGCGCTTCTGCAGAGACAGGTGGGTGGAGGGGACCTGGGGGCTCACACTGTCCCTACCGCTCATGCCATCCAGAACTGAACGATTAAGCAGACTCCCTTAAGATTCTGCAGGGTTTTAGCAACAACTGTTCACTTGCTGCCCCTCGGTGGTCATTTCTGGAATTTCCTCCAGGAGACTACTGGAAGCGCTGCTCTCCACTAAATCCCTCAACTTCCTTCATTTCCGTTGTGCGGAGGCTGTAAACTTGCACAGCCCGCCCGCGGCTGCGGCCCTGGATGGAAGCGTGAGGCAGGTGGCATTTTCCTCATCTCAAGGCCTGATTTCAGAATTACTGCCTCCCATCATTCCCATTTGGGGGAAAGTGATGATACACTAAGGCACTAAAAAATTAATGTTCCCTTCCAAGCACTTTAGGGCTATAGGAAGACGATAGCATTTACTCAGATGGCCACACATCCAGCGGCGGGATTCCAAATATCAGAGGGCAGAACTTCATGGGCTGTT